CATTCAATTCGATCGTCATTTTTCAGTACATGATCGTAATTTTCAATTATTGATCGCGATTTTACTTCAGAATTTGTTCGCAATATTGCTTATCAAAATTATATCTCTATTCTCTCATTTCTGTTTAGTCAATATCATTACACTCCTATTGTCTAATAACATGCTATTAATTTTCTTAAAATTAAAAAAAATATCAACTTTTAAAAACAGAAACTTAACATCCTTAGGTCAATGGATTTTGATGTGAGATACATTTAATCTGTTTTTCTTTTTTTATTTTAAATAATTGAATATTTATAGTTGTTATGGGTCTTACATCATGTAAAACGAATTTTCTTAAAGTAAATTTACTTTTTCTTCAATCTTTCTTACATATTTATTAAAAAAAAATTATCCAAAAAAAGATGTTTTAGAATGAAAAAAATAGAAAAATCTTCATTTATAGTCTTTCTTGAATGTATACGTTTTGATTTTTTTCTTTTTTAAAAAAATTAATTTCTAGAAAAATCGAGAAAAAATCATTTTCTTCTATTTTTTTAGGACGCCATACCCATTGAAATCTCTTCTCAGGACGCCATAAACTATTCAATTATGGTGTAAACTTCTCAAAAATTGAATAGTTTACATCAGGACGCCTTAGGACGCCAACCCTTTACGCGCCCAAATTTTGCACTTTTCTAATTTGCCGCGTCAAATGTCAGGCGGGAGGCTATCAACTAATTAAAGATTATATAATGTTATGATATAATGGATTAAAAAAACGATAGAATGTCAGGCGAAAATGAGGGGAAAAGTGAGAAAAGTGGCTTTTCAGTTTACAATTTTTAGTTGATACACATCTAATTAAAGATTATTATTGTTTTATCAATGGATGTCATTTTAACCAACGAATTAATATATTACATGAATGGAAAATGAAATATGTGTAAATAAATGCAATGAGACATTCTGAAAGCCTGTTTATTTAAACAAATTAAAATAAAATAAGTTTTATTTACATCAAAAATTATGTTGAATTGTTATTATCTATAAATCTGGATCCTCTGGATTGGACTCATTTAAAGAATCATTCTCTGCTCGGGCTTCATCTGAAATGGACTTTGCAAACTTGAGGAATGAGTCATCTTCTTCTTCATTTTGGCCTTCTTCGACCTTCTTCGGAGATTGGTGATACTCTTCCTCTTCGTCATCACTAGGAATATTCATCGTCCACTGATTTTCGTCCTTGGGGTCATCTTGGACATCGTCGGATTCTTCTGGCTTGGTACCGTCACCAAGAAGAATTCTCACTTTCTTTGCTTTTTTCGGAGTTGATTTCACTTCTTCGTGATTTTCAGCTTCAATATTTGATTCTGCTTCAGCTGGTTTCTCTTTTTCAGTTGGTTGTTGTTCTTCAACTGGTTTTTCCTCTTCAGTTGGTTGTTGTTCTTCAACTGGTTGTTGTTCTTCAGCTGGTTTCTCTTCTTCAACTGGTTGTTGTTCTTCAGCTGGTTTCTCTTCTTCAACTGGTTGTTGTTCTTCAACTGGTTTCTCTTCTTCAACTGGTTGTTGTTCTTCAACTGGTTTCTCTTCTTCAACTGGTTGTTGTTCTTCAACTGGTTTCTCTTCTTCAACTGGTTGTTGTTCTTCAACTGGTTTCTCTCTTCAACTGGTTGTTGTTCTTCAACTGGTTTCTCTTCTTCAACTGGTTGTTGTTCTTCAGCTGGTTTCTCTTCTTCAACTGGTTTCTCTTCTTCAACTGGTTTCTCTTCTTCAACTGGTTGTTGTTCTTCAACTGGTTTCTCTTCTTCAACTGGTTGTTGTTCTTCAGCTGGTTTCTCTTCTTCAGCTGGTTTCTCTTCTTCAACTGGTTTCTCTTCTTCAACTGGTTTCTCTTCTTCAACTGGTTGTTGTTCTTCAACTGGTTTCTCTTCTTCAACTGGTTGTTGTTCTTCAACTGGTTTCTCTTCTTCAACTGGTTGTTGTTCTTCAACTGGTTTCTCTTCTTCAACTGGTTTCTCTTCTTCAACTGGTTGTTGTTCTTCAACTGGTTTCTCTTCTTCAACTCGTTGTTGTTCTTCCTTCTTTTCTTCCTCTTCTTCAAATAATTCCTTTGTGTTTTGATCAATTGGGTGAAATTCTTTATCAATGTCAATATTTCTTTCGACAGGTTGCAATATATATTCTTCTTCTTCCTCTGGTTTAATATCTTGAGGAATTTCCGCTTGTTCCTCTTCTTCAACTGGTTTCTCTTCTTCCTCCTTTTCTTCTTCAGCTGGTTGTTGTTGTTCTTCAGCTGGCTTTTCTTCTTCCTTCTTTTCCTCTTCTTCAGCTGGTTTCTCTTCTTCAACTAGTTGCAGTTGTTCTTCTTCTTCCTTCTTTTCCTCTTCTTCAGCTGGTTTCTCTTCTTCCTCCTTTTCTTCTTCTTTAGCTGGTTTCTCTTCTTCAACTGGTTTCTCTTCTTCCTCCTTTTCTTCTTCTTCAGCTGGTTTCTCTTCTTCCTTCTTTTCTTCTTCTTCAGCTGGCTTTTCTTCTTCCTTCTTTTCTTCTTCTTCAGCTGGCTTTTCTTCTTCCTTCTTTTCTTCTTCTTCAGCTGGTTTCTCTTCTTCCTTCTTTTCTTCTTCTTCAGCTGGCTTTTCTTCTTCCTTCTTTTCTTCTTCTTCAGCTGGTTTTTCTTCTTCCTTCTTTTCTTCTTCTTCAGCTGGTTTTTCTTCTTCCTTCTTTTCCTCTTCTTCAGCTGGTTTCCCTTCTTCCTTCTTTTCTTCTTCTTCAGTTGGTTTTTCTTCTTCCTTCTTTTCTTCTTCTTCAGTTGGTTTTTCTTCTTCCTTCTTTTCTTCTTCTTCAGCTGGCTTTTCTTCTTCCTTCTTTTCTTCTTCTTCAGCTGGTTTTTCTTCTTCCTTCTTTTCTTCTTCTTCAGCTGGTTTTTCTTCTTCCTTCTTTTCTTCTTCTTCAGCTGGTTTTTCTTCTTCCTTCTTTTCTTCTTCTTCAGCTTGTTCCTGAGAGTTTGGATTTGCGAGCTCAGTTTCAATCTTTTGACTGACTTCCATTTCGACTCTTTCGAGCTGGGAAACAACTTCTGTTCTGATTTGTTGCTCCATCTGATCGTATCCCTTGTTCTTTCTTATGATATTGTCAACGATCTCCTCGACAATCTCTGTTGTCTTCTCTGACATTCCACTTTCTTCATTTTCGATTGAAATTTCTGTAGTTTCCTTCTCTTCCTCGACTTGTTTTTCATTGAGTTCTTCTTCCTCAGTTTCTTCTTCACCAAAGATATTCGATTCGAGGTCGTGCTCATCAATTGGAGTATGTTTCTTTTCTGGTTGCTTTGGTTCGACTCCGTATCGTTCTTTCATTTCTTCAAGATACTTCTTAAGGCCATCGATATGATTTTCCGAGTTATCGATACGCCTTGTATATTGTAGTTTAACTTTTTCGGCTGAGTTGTTGAAGAATGCGTCTTGGGACTCCAATTGCTTTTCGTATTCAGCTTCTGCGCGTTGTCTACGTAATTCAATTGATTTCTTGCTTTGCTTGTCGAAGTTCTTGCGTTCACGAATCTCGAGCTCTTCTTCTTTCCTACGAAGGCGCTCTGCAAGTTCGTAATTCTTTCCTTTCGAAGCGATTTCCTTTTCGTTATGGATCTTTATTAACAGTGAGCTTCTCTTGAATCCATCTCCGTTCTTAATCGTCTGTTCCTGATCTTGTAATTTCTGTAATTGAAATTGATGCTTCTTATCAACTTCATCGCGAGATTTTTCTCTTTCAGCGTTGATCTTTTCTAATTCTCGTTCGTAGTCGGCTTTGATTTGTTCGAGTTTCTTTTCTTCTTCGATTAATTGTTTATTAATTTCGTCAACTCTTTGTTGTCTATTAGCTTTCATTGCTGGTTCAACGAAGGAAGTATTTTGTTTTTGTGTAGATGACTTTTGTGGAGAAGGAGCTCTCTTTTCGGAATGAAGGCTTTTACTTGGAGAATTAGACTTCTTTTGAGGAGTTTGCTGTTGATTCTGAGGAGATTTGGATCTTTGAGACTTCGATGGCGAAGAAGGAGTAGATTTCACAACAGCTGCAATGTTCTGAAGTTGAGCTGCCAACTTATAATCTTCGGCATTTGCAGCTTCGTCAATCCTTTCTTGGATAACAGCTGAAATCTTCTTCTTGCCTGTCTCTGTAATTGTATCAATCTCGTATCCAGCAAGGAGGTTGTCGATCGTCTGATTTAAGACATTTCTTTCTTTTTCAGTTACTGTGGATTTTTTAGCTGAACTTTGTCCCTTTCTAGCTGTTTTAGAAGGAGACTGCTTCTTAGGTGATTGAGCAGCTTTTTCTTCATTTTCGCTCTGAATTTGAGTTAATTTTCTTGTTAACGTTTCAATTTTCTTGCGTTTTTGTGTAGTTGAAGCTTTCCCATCGTCTTTTATCATAGTTTGATGACGAACAATCGCTAATCTCTTTAAAACGGCTTTGATCATTTTTGGTTCAACATCTTCAGGGTTTTCACCATTAAGTAATCCATCAACAATGCCCTTGGCATCCTGATCGGACTGCGTAGAAGTGTTTACCTGAGATTGTGAATGACGTGGAGATTGGGAACTTTTCATACAAAAATAATTGAATTTCGCGGGTTTTACAAGTGAATTCAATGAAAAAATCTTAATAGAATAAAATTATGTCTGCATTTATTTGTGTAAAAATAAATGCGATGAAAAAAATACGGTTATAAAAATTTCTATTGTTTTTTGTTGTTTTTTCAAAAAGATTATTTTTAGAATTTTTCGAATTGCAAAACAATGAGTGTTCAAAATAAATATGTTTTGCAAATCAAATTTTTTCCATTTTTAGGTTTTTATTATCAAATTTGTTAAAATTATTTTCATTTTTTGATTTTTAAAATTTTCTTGACGGTTTTAATGAACGAATGGAAAGAACATTACCAAAATCATACAACTAATCTAATATTTTCAACCAAAATATTTCTGTCAATTTTTCTGCGTCCGATTCAGAAGGTTACACAAATTATGACTCAAATGGATGTTTTATCGAAGTACGTTGATGACTGCTTATCTGCCCATGACATCAACATCGAGATGCAGATCTCTGACGAAATCGATAAAGTCATTTGGATGCAGAACTTTTATAAGCTTCCACTGAATATTGCATTAAGAATCCTTAAATACTCGGGGAAGAGTCTTACCGAAATACAATCTAGACAAGTTGTCGATGGGTTTATGCGAACATGTGGAATCGAAGCAATGAAAGTGTTCCCATATGTTAATTGTGGAAATATTGAGCAATTAATGGGCCAAGGACCACTTCAAAAAACATATACTCAAGAAGCATTCATTCACGAACCATTGATTCCTCATGATCCAGGCCTTCATTCTCCAAAACCAAAACCAAGAGCAACAAATAATCCTAAAACTACAAAATTCCAAGTTCCTCACTACATGATTGTTCCAAAGAATCGAACAAAGTCAATATCGTATTTCAAGCTCGACGTACATCCATCTTCTCCCATTACTTCTCCTAAAAATAAAACAAGAGGCGCTCTTTCACCAACTTCCCCTCGTAAGAAATTCGTTGTTAAGGAAGAGGAAGAAGAAGATAAAAAGGAAGAGCCTGAGGTCATTGCGATATTCTCAGCAGCTGAAGCTTCCGAGATAAAAACAGTTGAAAAATTAATCCATGAAAAACCAGAATTAATACATTCGAAGCTTAATAACGAGACACTACTACATGTTGCAATGAGAAGAAAGGACATGAAACTCTCTGGAATCCTTTTAAGATGTGGAGCTGATAAAGAAGCTCCAAATTTATATGGAAGCTCCCCTCTTTATACAGCAATATACCAAGATTACGCGCCAGGCATTGATTTCCTTCTATCTCAAGGCGCAAACGTAAATTCAAGAAATAATTCCGGAAATAGTCCTTTACACTGGGCAGCGGAATGCAGAAAAATCAGCGCGGCTAAGATATTACTTTCATATGGAGCTAACATTAATGCTCAAAATGATAAAGGAGAAACTCCATTTTTAATAGCATGCAAAAAAGGACCTTTAGAGCTTGTTAAAGAATTCCTGCAAGCAGGTGCAGACATCAACATCGAAAATAAATACGGAGAAAAGCCTATTGACGTTGCTCTTCACCCAGATATTCAAACAGAAATTCGAAATCACGAAGGAAAAAAGACATGATTATAAAACAACAATACAAACAACTTTAATCATAATTAAATAACATACGTGGAACGTGGCGATGTCGCCTCCTTGAAACTACAATAGATTCATAATCTATTTCATCAGGCTTTGTAGAGATAACAGGTTCTTCATCGTTATCTTCATTAACTATATTTTTAATTGGCTTTGAAACGCATTCTTCGTTGATTTCTGTTTCAAATTTGATTGCATTTGTAATTTTATTTTTCAAATCGTCTAAAGTGCAGTAAACACCATTGATATATCCTCCATAGTATCCGTTTTTCACGTTTAGATACGGGATCAACTGGTCTTTGACAAATTTTGTCCAAAGATTGTTTTTATACGTCGACCAAACATAACTATTCTTCATGAGACACTCGGCGAGTGCTTGTATATGACCAGATCTATCTGTTGTATTGAACTTCTCTATGACTTTCGATGGAATATCCTCTTTAATTACAATTTTTTCGATTTCTTCATCGGAAAGGTTAGCTATCGTCTTAACGATCGCATGGTTTATCATGGTGTTGGACCCTTTTTTGAAGAAATAGTTCATGTAATTCCCAACAGAACTTGGATATAAATTAATATAAGGAATAAAAGATATTGGAGATATTTGGTCCTCGGAAATCGAGAACTTATTTCCCATTTTTTCAATTACTCCCGTAGAATTTTCGCAAAGACACTTTGAATTTCCGATAAAGTTAAAAATGTCTCTGGCAAGGAGTGGCTTATTGGTCTTGAACGCCATCTTCAGGAGGTCCTTCATCACAATATCATCATCGAACAGAGAAATAAGGTACTCTCGCTTAGAAATGATATCTTGGAAAGCAGAAACAACTCCAAGCTGCTTATTGTATGGCATATCTATAAGATCCTCACACATATTGATAGAATCTTGCTGTGAAAATTGGAATTCGCCGTTAAACTCGGTGACTAAGAAAACAAAGAGATCTTTAAGTGCTACTATATCAATATTTTGGGTTAAATAATACTTAAGGTGATCAAAATTATTGAGAAATGAACCGTCGGAAAGATTTGTATAAGAAGTAATGAGATTGGCGAAATGGCCACACAAAAAAGGATTCCTATTAGCGGACAAATACATAAAATCCCTTATTTTATCTATAAATACTTGATTGGAGAGAAGGCTATTTTGATATCCTAAAAACTTTGATTTAAGAAGTTCAATACACAACTGCGAACGTCTTTGATATTGATCGCATTTCAGTTTATTTTCAGTAAGTACATAGTCCATCATCTGATGTATGGAGCTTTCCGTGGATAGATACTCTAAAAATTGAGTGTTCGGATTTTGAATTGCTTGTTTTAGGTTGGAGTCATCTAGAATCTCCTCTATGGCACAATTAGACTTAGCTATCGAGAAAGAAATACTATCAGGGAAATACTTTGCTCTATGCTTCATCTAAGGCAAAAAAATATAGTGTGAAATTGTATTCGCTATATCGTTAGTTTTTGTTGACTCAGAAATTTGAGAGTGTCATAAAATAAAAATATTATTATTTGGTAAACATAAAAGGAAATAACAGATTTTGGATTTTCAATTATTTTCAAAATATTGAAAGAGGACATTTAAAAAGTTATCGTTTATATATTGAACCACAGGAGCCATGATTACCAAATATTATTAGAAAACATTATTTGTGATGTAATGCTGACTAGGAATAATGTGTTTTTTATTATTTCTTACCTACTTTTCAGAATTTTCAATCTCAATTCAAATTTCTGAATTAACAACAAAAACACTTCTCATTACAATCAATATAACAAATGATTTATAATGAAATTCCAATTCAATTTTTTTCAATTTAAGAAACCGATGGACAAATTATAAATTACATTATCATCGATTAAATAAAAAAACTTCATAAAATAATTGACAAAAATAGCTTTTTGTCAAATTGGGGTTCAAATGTGAATATGATACTTTATGATATCATATTGTATTAGATGTGGAGATGCAATGTCTTTAATATCATAAGTTTTTTTTGGACCAATATCGAGATCTTGCATGTGTATGGTAATGAATCATATATTTCTAATTTACATCTTATATAATATATGACAAAACAATGCTGGTATTAATATGTTTTTCCAAAAATGTTATTTATATAGTTTTTGACTCAAATTTTAAATCGATATGATCAAATCACGAATTTCTGCTATATGGAATTAATAAATTTCATAAATACGTAAAATGTCACAACAGTTTAAAATAGTGCCAACTGTAGGACATGTTTAACCTCGATAAAACAGTTTCATTGTATCAACTATAAAATGTGAACACAATAGTATGGTAAAAGTAGGGTTGCAAATTTGGAAGCACAGCATAAATTTGGAAGAGAAAAAATTCAGTTTTGGAAGATTTTCTGGAAGTTAAAAGATTATATGAATATTCATTTGTTGTTAAGATTTATATGATATGTAATGCTTGTTCATAAGATAAATATGCTTGTATGATAAATAATTAAATTATTTCTATAATCACTATATCTAACTTTAATTGATATTGATGAAATTTACTATATTTCGAAAGGTATTGAATATTCTTTATAATGCAAAAGAAAAGGAAGAAATCAAAACAATTTCATTTACAAATGTTTATATAATTGGTAATCTAAAGAGTGAAAACATAATATTAAAGATATAAGATGCAATTCCTGCACTGTGGTTTTCAATCTCTTCTTAGGAAGCAAAATAAGATTCCAAATTTTGGGAATCTTTCTTTCAATCAACTATAATGTGTACATGAAATATTGTGAATGACCTCTTTATAGCATGCATGAAATAGTGAATTTTTATTTACTTCCAGATCAAGAAAAAAATGTAAACAATTCAAATTAACTTCCAAAAACTTTTTCCTATATTCAATTTTTTGATACCAAATATGTTCAATATACTATTTTATGCATTTTTATTAAAAATTATTTTACAGCTTCAAAAAACTTCTTCTTGAATTCAATTTTTTATAATGAAATGTTGTAGAATATCGTTTCTAAATTAACTTTAAAACATATTTTTATAACTTCCAAAAAGTGAACGTTACTTCCAGCCCTTGATATAAACTAAATAATAAAGATTTCATATACAAGTAATAGGATTGTTATAGTAATAACAACTATCTAATGATTTCATATTAATTTCTAATTAAATCTCTTGAATATTTGTTTCAAAATTATATTTGGTCAAAAGAACGAAATAGAAAGAAAATCTACTCTATTTAGGAAATTAAATTTTTATTCTTTAGATCCGAATGTCTTTTGGATTGTCAATAATGTGATGAGAAATTCAAGTTCACATATAGAGATAATCTATTTTAAAATGTAATAAACAGAAATTCATCAAAAGTGACAGCTCTCAATTTTTTGACATTTGTAAATTCTAAATTGAATGAGAAAAATGAAATAATACTAAGCATAATACAATATTCTAGATTTAATTATAATTAGGAAAAAGTTAGTTTTTAGAGTACTTTTCATAGGCATATAGAATGAAATCTTCTGAAAAATAATATCACATAACCTCATATTATTTTCTAATATATAACTATTTTATATAAAAATCAAATTCAATGATCTTAAAAGCGAAGGATAAACCTCAAAATTTACGAATATAATGAGTGGGAATATAATGCTTATCTATCATAAAACCATATGAAATATCAATTTTGCTTTACGCCTAATTTTTGACGACAATTAGCAAAAAATGTTAAATGTTAACACTCAGTCCATTTGAATATGAAAAATAAAATTGACTTTGATTAAATGTTTTTATTTATCATGCAATTCTTCTTGCGACCAAAGATTTGACTAAAATTTCAAAAAATAAGATAGCTTAAAAAATAATATACGGTAGTGTTTACTAATAGATGAATAGTATATAAATTCTATTAAAATGGATTTGATCCAAAAAAATATATAAAATTTGATCATAAATAAAATCGTTTTAAATTACTTCTTCATTTAAATTATAACAATTATTTTTGGTTTTATATTTTTTTGGATCAAATCCATTTTAATAGAATTTATATACTATTCATCTATTAGTAAACACTACCGTATATTATTTTTTAAGCTATCTTATTTTTTGAACTTTTATTCAAATCTTTGGTCGCAAGAAGAATTGCATGATAAATAAAAACATTTAATCAAAGTCAATTTTATTTTTCATATTCAAATGGACTGAGTGTTAACATTTAACATTTTTTGCTAATTGTCGTCAAAAATTAGGCGTAAAGCAAAAATTGATATTTCATATGGTTTTATGATAGATAAGCATTATATTCCCACTCATTATATTCGTAAATTTTGAGGTTTATCCTTCGCTTTTAAGATCATTGAATTTGATTTTTATATAAAATAGTTATACATTAGAAAATAATATGAGGTTATGTGATATTATTTTTCAGAAGATTTTGTGTTCTTCTTCAAAATTTTATTTTTTTATTAAAAAGAATCTTTACAAAATATACATTTACTTTAATTAATATTTAAAAACGTGCTCTATCAAAAGTTCCAAAAATTCAATATTTTAGCTTTTCTGAGGTGTCACTTTTGATGAATTTCTGTTTACAACACAGAAATCCAACATATAGCATTTTATTAACACTGCAATATCATTATCGGCTCAACATTTGAGGGAGTATCAGATGTTTAAATCTTTGTTCTAACTTCTTATTAATCTTCATTAAAACGGATCATGCGTACATGTGTAATTTACCTTGCAGCCAATTCATGCGTTTATCAAACAATAAAATTTGAAATTCATTTTTTTAGATTTTCAATCAAATAGATGAAAATATATATCATCTCATAACTTGTTGAATAAAATTATAATTATCCTCCCTGATTTGAGAGAAATAAAAGTCGAACGAGCATTTCGTAAAGAGGATAACATACAGTTTAACTATTTTTGTAAGAAAATTAATTATCATACAATGGAGTCCTAAAGACTATAGAGATATGTATTTTTCTCTCAATTTCACTTCTTCAAATATCATTTTAACAAAAATTTTCATATTCCGATACTCGATCTCTATTAGATTATCATATCGTTCATTTTTATTTGAAAATTTCAATGATTAAGTTTATTTAATCCAGAAAAAAATCGAAAATTGATAATGAATAGTTTTTGAAAAATTGAATTGAGTAAAAGATATCCATTAACTCTTGCAGAGAATATCATTCGCTTCTGAACGTCTTATTTCATTATTTTGTGATTGAAATAACTTTTGAAAAAATTGAATATTTTATATCAATTCCATTTAATTTTAAAATAAAATATTATACGCATTTAATATAGTATAATTTTGAATTTTTTAGACCAACATCTCAATAAATTCAATAAGTTATTCATTACAATTTTGTATAAATTAATACTCAGGTAACACTATATAACACTATATAACACTATATTGTTATTTATCTTTTTATTAAATAAATTAATTGATAGTACTCACAATTTTATTCTGAAGTAGAAACAACAAAAATGTCTGTCGAACCAATTGCAAATGACAGGGCAATCGAAATCCCAGGATATATTGTTACAAAAATATTAGAAATAGGTAGGTTCTACTCTAGGGTAGTTGTCACTGACTTCAAAGGCGAAAAATTCCATGCATTTTATTTCGACGTCGATGCAGTCATAAAAATCGACAAATTAGACAATTTAATTGCAGATATTAACATATTAATCCAATTACGACATCCAAATATAGTTCGCTTCGTTGAATTCTATCATGATTCAAAAAAGATGTTTTTAATTACAGAATATTTTAACAACTATTCATTAGAAGATCTTATATCAAGTACTACATGTGGCGAATATCACTATAAAACAATCGTTTCAGGAATTATAAAGGGCATCCAAGCTTTGCACCACGCAGGCATCTGCCATGGAAACATTTGTCCTTCAAATATAATGATATACGATAGGTTTCATCCAAAAATTTCTAATTTCCAGTTCTTATCACAGTTTTCATTCAAGGTTGATAAGCACATTAATCCTATTCAAGTAAATTATTATTCTCCAGAATGCTTACAATACAAATGCACAGATCCTTTTGCAGCTGATATATGGTCTTTCGGCGTAACATGTTATGTATTATTGACAAGACAAATGCCTTTTTCACAGTCCAACGAAATTAAATTATTCAACAGCATCATAGAATGCAATTATAATCCTACAGTGATAAATGATGAAGCGTATAGAAAAATGGTAACAAGTTGCATCGTATTAGAGCCAGAAAATAGAGCTAGCATCGATGAGCTCGAAAATTGGTTCGACAACACAATTAGGGTTTCCAGACTCGATGTAAGATACCCCATTCACCTTTCTTATTCTCAAGCAATTCCGAAGATCATTAATACTGAGCTTTTTGACAATATTATGAAATCTAGAAGAGTTATTTTCAGGAGAAATACTCATTGTGAATAGCATCATCATACAAATGCTGTTTGCAATCAGCGTAGAATAATGAAGCCTTCAGCGAGCTTGCTTGCGTTTCCAGCACAGCAGCCATCCCCATTTTAAGTATGTTTTATTTGTTTGTCTCATGTATATTTATAAAAAAATATTTATTTAGTTCTTAATTCAATATACATTCATTAAATTGTTTGAAAGTGTCTACAAAGTATAAGATCATATTGATCTCATTGAGAATCTTACCAAATTTTGACAATTGAATTAAAATTTTAATAATTTTCCATTTGTACTACTCAATTCGTATGGGTTCTCATTAAGACAAACTTTTATATAATATATCAGTTAGTTCAATTTCTAAGGCTGATAAATTTACATCAAGTTCATCGATATTAACTCACGCCTTTTAAATGGAATCCCATTAATCAAAGAAATCAATGGTTCATATACTTTGTAAAGAAAAAAGTTATCGTAAAAAAATTTAGCAAATTATTGATCGCTTAAATGAATTATTTATCGGAATGAATCGTTAAATCTTTTGGAAGGTTTTGACTTTAACTTTGAGCTTTAAGGAAAAATATTAACAAAAAATTAATAAGAGTTTTTTTAGCAATAGCCTCCATGGCCACCGCAACCAGAATCAGCATGATCGGATCCTCTTGAACCCCAGTTTGGAACTGGTCTTTGAAGCTTTGGAGCCTTGTTAGCCTCAACAGAATAAAACCTTGGTGTTGTTGACTGCTTTGGTACACGGTAAACTGCTTGTGAGAATTTTCTGCCTCCTGTGTAATCAATACGATCCTTAAAAGCAGATTCCCAATTTTCTTCTGGTTGTGATAAAACTGTTCTCTCTTTATCAGGAACTGGCATTACTTGTGGCCTTTTAAGCTGACCAGCAAATGAGATCGGAGTTGCATTTTTCAAAATAACTTTAGTTGAAAGGCTATTTATAACAAGTGCAAAAAACATTTGAAATTTTTGCCAAAGCGGTTAAATTTTACATCTTACTCAATACAAAAATCTCGTTTACCTATATTCACAAATACTTTTGTTTATTTCTCCAAAATGTCAGATCGCGGTTCTGACATAAAGTTAGAATCGCGATTATTCAGATACAGGATTCATTCATCGGATCTCTATGGTGCACTATATCAAATTGAATAAAGCAAGCAAATAATTCACGAATCCGGAGCTCCTCTAAAACTTGGATTGGGACAAATAATTATCTAGAAAAGCTCAATTTAATGAGAACAGTTGAAATCTCTGAAAAGTATCCAGTCATGAAATACTGGAATTATTATTGAGCTCAAACAATGGTAATTTGTGAGCTTTCTTAAATTTGCAGTCTATATAAGATGTAATTGTTTTCCATATGCTTTTTTGTAATAAATGCTTTACATATATATAGTTAGTATTACTACTATAATCAATTATACTTCGAATTCAAAATAATAGATTCTGAATGGAAGTTTTTAGATAAAATAGCTTGAAAAAGAAATGAGAGTAAAAGATTTTATCAACAATCCAAAAAATTATAAAATATTAGAAAAATTTCTCTTAATAAGCATCTGCTACTTTCTAATATCATCAGAAATAATATTAATTTTACTTTCTTGTAGGACTCTCATCCCATATAAAAGACGAAATCAATCTTTCAGTTGCTTTTGAAATTGAAGAATTTAAAATCTACGAACTATAATAGTGTAATGCATGCATCCTGAATATGAAAAGAAAAGTCGCAATGCCTTTTTTTGAAAATTTGGGCGCGTAAAGGGTTGGCGTCCTAAGGCGTCCTGATGTAAACTATTCAATTTTTGAGAAGTTTACACCATAATTGAATAGTTTATGGCGTCCTGAGAGGAGATTTCAATGGGTATGGCGTCCTAAAAAAATAGAAGAAAATGATTTTTTCTCGATTTTTCTAGAAATTGAATTTTTTAAAAAAGAAAAAAATCAAAACGTATACATTCAAGAAAGACTATAAATGAAGATTTTCCTATTTTTTTCATTCTAAAACATCTTTTTTTGGATAATTTTTTTTTTTAATAAATATGTAAGAAAGATTGAAGAAAAAGTAAATTTACTTTAAGAAAATTCGTTTTACATGATGTAAGACCCATAACAACTATAAATATTCAATTATTTAAAATAAAAAAAGAAAAACAGATTAAATGTATCTCACATCAAAATCCATTGACCTAAGGATGTTAAGTTTCTGTTTTTAAAATTTGATATTTTTTTTTTAATTTTAAGAAAATTAATAGCATGTTATTAGACAATAGGAGTGTAATGATATTGACTAAACAGAAATGAGAGAATAGAGATATAATTTTGATAAGCAATATTGCGAACAAATTCTGAAGTAAAATCGCGATCAATAATTGAAAATTACGATCATGTACTGAAAAATGACGATCGAATTGAATGAATAGAATTATATCTAAGAAAAAATAAATTGTATTTAGAAGATGAACAAAGAAAGGTGTATGCTAAAAATCATTTAACAATAAATGGAAATAAAACGAAATTGTTAAAAGAAAAAAATGAAAATTGTTAAATAATATACCCTACGTTCCCAACTTCTGGAAAACGGTTTTTCACCCTTATGATCAGTTTCAGACACTTTGGGAGTCTCCCAAACTTTGATATTTTGCATTATGATAGAGAAACGTGTCTAGTTTAACGCACAGTTGTTTTAAAGGCAAATGATGATATCACATGAAATTATCAAATTATCAAATTTTGAAGTACCAGTCCAAAGGGTTAATTAGATCCTACACAGATGTGCGATAGTGAAACATATGTGTTCTTGATTTGAGAAGTCCTACTGATAGAGGTATGAATCTCACAGCTTTGTGTGAGTGTGTCTGACACTTGTATAGAGTGGAATATGCGCCGACATATATTATATAATAACATGTAGTTGATAATTATGAAAAAATAGAATTTGATGCGAATGATATTGAAAGTTGTTTTGTAATTTGATATTTTTCTTATATGTGTTAATTAGTAAATGGCTTGTTTGTTGTGATAGTACTGTGAAAAATGAAAGGTATTTTAAATTAAAAAATTGAGATTTTGAGATATCTCTAGAATTAAGAATTTATTATGTATTTGACTTTTATATAACTATGTGTAAAGGATCTCGATGTCTATATGCTTTAAATAAAATTAAATAAAATGAGATAAAAAATTAAAATGGACAAGAAGATATATGGAAATGTAATTTGTATTGTGTTGGTTGTTGGCAAAATGATTTTAATACAGATTTAAGGATTTGGAATGGATTTGAAATTAAATGATTTTAATTCAAGGAGTAATAAGATTTTGAACTGGTTTTTATTTTGTGAATGTAAACTCCTTCCATAGGATATGTATTAGAAAGATAAATTTTAAACTTTTTGAAAGAATTGTTTTTTTGTTGAGCGATTTTCTCATATTTAATAATATATTTAAGTTGGCGTATCTTACGCCCTTCCAAAAATATGTATTAGAAAGATAAATTTTAAACTTTTTGAAAGAATTGTTTTTTTGTTGAGCGATTTTCTCATATTTAATAATATATTTAAGTTGGCGTATCTTACGCCCTTCCAAAAATATGTATTAGAAAGATGACTTATAATTTCATAAATTATTTTGTCCCGACGGTTTGAGCGGTTATCAGAATGGTTGCTTACACAATGCGTCAGCAAAATGTCGGTTGGGGTGCCCTTCTTGGCCTCCTGAGTACTCACCAAGATACCCCCAGCTCCCGCAAAACACCTCCCTTAGGTGCGCATTACCTGACGGCATTATTTTGCAATTATTTCAAATTTTTTAGATGTCTTTTGTTAAAGTTTGTTAACTAAAGACTTGAAAACAGCTTACCGCTTCAAGCTGCTCTCTTCCCGGTTCCTCTGCCGCAATCTTCTGTTTGATTGTGCGCAAAGCTCTCCTCCTTGTGAACTTTGCCTGACAGATACACCTGGGAGACAGCATTCGGACATCTTACCGCTTCAAGCTGCTCTCTTCCCGGTTCCTCTGCCGCAATCTTATGTCTGATTGTGCGCAAAGCTCTCCTCCTTGTGAACCATGGCTGATAGAAAGAACTGAAAGACATGATAGGAGGAACATGCCGGTTCAAGTTAACTTGCAATATGCTTCTGATTAGTGATTTTAGATGAAAGATTAGCGAAATCGCATTTAATTTGGATAGAAGGATTCAATTTTATGAAGCAGGCTCGTAGAAAATATGCAGGAATAGCACAATCTTTTGCAATCGCGTTGTGATTGCAAAACTGCGACCGACAAGAGTGCACAATACACTCTTGTCGGTCAAACTTCCTAATACAAAATTTGATTCCCTTATTATCTTCTTAACAAAACTTAAGATTTCAATAATACATCATGAAAACATTCATTTACTACATTCACACTGTTATTCCTTTCTATAAATTAACTCATTTAATAGAATCTTGTTTTTATATCTTATTATTTTCTCATAATACTTCTAATTCCTCTATTTTCTCTTCCACATAAAATTTAATTTTGTCATGCTATCATATACACTTAATGTTTTCAAATTTTCAGATTTAAATTTAATCTTTATTTTCATCATCATTTATAATCTTGTTCCTATATAAAGTTATAATAAATTATCGTCAGATTCTAATATTTATGATTCTTACTACTCAATTCAATATAATTATGTTAGTCACTCATATTCAGGAGAATAATTTAAAAATCTATAGCTCATATTTTGATAGTTATATATTTAGATGATATATATTGCAATTCCGGTTTCAACACGATCAAATGCCAAACCAAGACAAAATATATATGAATTTTCAAAATATCGATTTACATTAGAATCTATATCTAATTTTATCAATACACAAGTAGGGAATGTTCAATACATCTTTGAGCAACGTGAATAGCACAATTTTATAGGATTATTTGTTGATTATATAAAATATAAGCCAAATCGAATCTGCTGTATAGTACTTTAGTTATCATTGAATGTTAAATGTGTTCAGATAAATATTTGAGTCAGATATCGCATTTTCTAATTTCAAAATTTATCTCATGAAGTTAGAATTTATTTGATCATACAACATCATGTTAGTCAAACCAGAGTTCAATGGCGATTCTAAAATGGAACAAATGCTTGTTTTATCAAAATGTTAAAATATTAATCTAAAAAACTTAATATCTAACCAAACCATTCTAGAATTATTATATACAGGTATAGGCAATCTAAATGCACACGGAATTTCGGAAAATTAAAAAAGAATATTTATGAGATTATTAAATCTTATGTAATTCAATGAAAAAGTAGATAATATGAATATCTATAGGCTATATATCAACATATGAGTTTTTGGTTTGACCAATACTATACTAATGTGATCAAATTAATCTGATTTCTTAGATTTTCATTTGAAGCATTTGCAGTAGTAGGGGTACCTTTATATATTAACATATTAAAAAATTGCGCTCCGATTCGCAGTTTCTTCATGATTTTGAGATTGCATTAGATTTCGCGATGCAGAAAAAAATCACTTTAGATTCCCGTCAAACTCTAAGTATAAGCATGTCTCTATATGTAGAAACTGTCTGCGCTATTTATTTCCCGGCTCAAAAAACCACGGTGTCTGTGTGAGGAAAATACCCATTTTAGGACCCTGGGTAGGGTCATGAAAAATTTCCAAGAGTTGGAAATATAGGGTATTATTTTTTAGTCATAAGAATAAAAATATAGTAGTTATAAAAGGAATTAGACTTCATATATCAATTCTTTTTCTCTGTAGATGTGGAACGTTTGCTTTTCGATCTCTTTTGATGAACTTGAAAATATAAGTTATTATCGCTGAGAATCCTTTCCGAAATAGGAGCTTTACGTTTAGGAGGATTGTCGGATGAATTTTGTTTTTTATTGTTTGATTTTGTTGTTATGGAAGATTTTTTCTTATTTTTTTCAGAATTTTGCTTGCTATTAACTGAAACTTGTTTTGACGGCCCAACAATAGCATTTGTAGTAGGAAGAATTCCCAATAACGAGCGCATTTTCGATAATTGTTTTTCAATATGATCAAGAAGGTCCAGCTTATGTTCTAGATTACTAGACATTTGATTTGTAGAAGGATGGTTTTGATTTTCTGGTTCTAAATCTGTAGAGTCTGCAATATTTGAATTTTCGGAGCGAATCGGAGCATCTGAACCTTGATTTGTATCGGCTTGCTCAAAATTAGTTTGAATTGGAGTGGATGAATTAAAATCTGGATGATTTAATGTTTCATTAAATAATGCCATAATTTTTTCTCTTTTTTCATTAATAAACTTAGTGATCATTGTATCTTTATCTGTTAGATCGATCGATTTGAGTATATCTGCATCATGAACTGGAATATTTTCGAACAATGAACTCGATTCTATGGAACCATATGGAGAAATCTCGTTCTGAGCCAAAGAAAGATCACTTACGTTGTATTGTTTGATAGAAAAAATTGTTTTCTCAAGTTCTTTTTGAAAGCAGTCAAGAATATAATTTTTGTAGCTATCAGTGATAACGGTTTTTATATGGCGCTCGATCTTCTGGTTATTTTTGATGGCGTTATATTTATCTAATTGGATTTGAGATATCTTCTTAATAGCTTCATAAATGTTTGGATGTTTTAACGAAGAAAATTCTGAATGCATACTCTCGAGGCAATCATTAGTGAATATTGCAGTTGCATTATTATATTGAGATATTAAATTGTAGTGCGGCAACCAAACTTTGTTGAAATAATCAATATAATCTTTGATCGAATCAACTTTATTTTGATTAATTATATGCATTGTAAGTACAAATTCTTCATGAGACATGAATGGAGTAATAGAATATAGCTTAAATAAAGAATTTTGTAAAGTATTGAAATTTTTTGTATAAAGTGCTACAAGTTTCCTGTGTAAAGCTTGTTTGAAATGAAATAGGCATCCAATTATACGGACTTTAGGGAAAATTTGTTGAAGTGCCTCTATCATTCCCTTTTCAAAATCACAATGAATTTGAATTAGCTTTGAAAATTGAATACCCTTGACAGTAAAAATATATTCAAATGCCTTCTTATAAGATTCAAATGTGCGGTTTTTCATGAATATAAATAAAAGTGGTAGATATTGATTTGTTGAAGGTTCACAAATCATAATTGTTAGCATCTGTCCTTTTTGAAAATGTTTTGGTGTAATTTTAAAAGTTCCATCGCAAAATAAATCTGTGGCTTCTTTTGCAAATTGAATTGCCTTCTCAAAACCAAAAAACATCGTCTCACAATTTGCTTGAAAATCATGGCCAATGAAAAACTGCTCGCCATTTATTAAACAAAAATTAGCAATTTCATCGTCTGTAATTTTTTCTCCAACAGAAAATTTTCTGGACTTATTATAAACTTCCCTGACCAATGAATCTTTAATTAATGGGTTTTCATCAGTACCAACAGCAAGTTCTGTCATAAATTTTTTAATCTGCTGAAAAGTGCCGTTGTCTTCAGAAAATTTTGCCATTGCCTTATTGTATATTTCTGTCAGAGTCATTGATTTATGAAGATCATTTTTTTCATTTTGTAACTTTTTAAATTGTCTGCATTCGGGTATATGTTCCTTTTGTAAATCTTCGGAAACTGAACTGTTCTCAATTTTAACTAAATAACGTGCTTGACAAGAATGATCGATGCAACGGTAGTAACGTTCAATATTATTTGAATTAATAATATTTGTATGATCATGCGAATAAAGCATATCTTTGCGAACAATTGTATCAGGATATTTTCCAGTAACTGCGGGAATATTTTTAACTGCAATATAACTAAAATATCTTCTGACAGCTTTAGATTCATTTTCGGCGTATTTAATATTAAAATATTGAAGAACTTGTTTGATTATATTCGTTTTTTCATCTCTCGATGTTGATTTATGGTATTTATCAGATTGTTCCCTGATAAATATTTTATTTTCGTCTGTAAAGTTTGCTCTTTTTTGATTAAATATAGATGATTTTCCCATTAAAAAATGAAATGATGCAAAATTTACGAAAACCGTTCGAAAATTGAATCAAAAATGAAAAGTAATACTTAAATGAGAATTCTTTGAGATATTGGTCTTAGATTGAATGTAGCGTCATTCTTATATAGAATATATATTCATATCATCGGAAATATGATAAAAAGCATATAATAAATGTCAAAAAAGTGAACAAATAAGCAAAGATATTTTTTAAAAAACAATGAAAAGTAATACTTAAATGAGGAATTCTTTGAGATATTGGTCTTAGATTGAATGTAGCGTCATTCTTATATAGAATATATATTCATATCATCGGAAATATGATAAAAAGCATATAATAAATGTCAAAAAAGTGAACAAATAAGCAAAGATATTTTTTAAAAAACAATGAAAAGTAATACTTAAATGAGGAATTCTTTGAGATATTGGTCTTAGATTGAATGTAGCGTCACAAATTTCACAAATATAATTTACTATACAATTTTATTCATTTTTTTAAAATGGCTGACGACAGTCTGTATCAACTAACTCAACTAGTCAAGCATAATGATTATTCTTCGGATTCATTAAATCAACTTTATCAATGCATAAGTACAATGACAGAAAGATCAATTGGATGCTTGAATTGGGATAAATTTTTCAAAAAAATCACAGTGACTGATGAAGTTCTTTTACATTTTTTAGCATCCGTTTTAAACATTGAAAAGATATCAGAATGTTTCAAGGATTCTATTTTTTATCACAATATTAATCTTGAAAAATTCAGTAATTTAACTGAAACAGAACAACAAACAATTTTAAATTCCTACAAAGCGGATAAATTTACATATTACATAATGTGCTCACAAATTGTAAAATCAAACTGGAACAATTTATCCCAAACTTTAGTTAATATTGCAAATCAATATTTGCCATTTTTAGATGAAGAAAAGCAAATATATATATTTACTGAAATAACTGGCAATTATCAAAATTTTGAAATTTCAATTGCAAACTTGTTACTTTTTTATGAAAACAATGAAGAAAAATTAAGCAACTGTTTTAATTTAACATTGTTCCAGCAAATTTATTCCAAAAATGGAATCGAGCAAATGATATTTTTTGCTGCAAATACAATTTGTTGCAATAACACTTCTATCAATTTTTACAATCTCCTTGAAATTTAAGAAATGAATCCATTTGATTTTTTTTATTTCTCAATTCAATAAGTAGTATATGAGTGCGGGTTGTGTGACTTTTTTTGTAAACGTAAGAATTCATACAATATTGAACGATTTTGTATCATTTTTTTTTACATATGAAGTAAAAAATGTATGATTCTTACGGTTTTTATTCTTACGTTTTTGAATAAATCAAGATTTAAAAATGTTCAAAATTGTAAGACATTTACACTCAACCCATACATAATGAAATAAACACATTAAAAAAATTAACATTAATTTTAAAATAATTTATTTTTCATCATTTATAAAAGAAGCTATATATATAGATGATGTCAGATATTCCGCGATTAATTAAACATTGTTTAAATCATGAATGGAATCAATGGAGTCATAATCAAAGACCTCATAAACGAGAAGAAGAAATTAGAAACTAATGATTATTTGAATTTATGAAATCAATTATTTGATTCATTCTTTCTTCAATCTCTTCTATTCTTTTTGTTAAATCATCTATTTTCATTAATGAGGTGATTCTTGATTGAGGAATAGATTTCAAACTAACCACCCCTTTTATTTTTGAAATTTTGAATCCATCAACTTTAAACATTTTATTCAATTTACATGTTGTCAATTCTTCAAATAATTTTTTATTATTGGCATAATAGTCATTAAATTCTTCAACAGATGAAAAAATTTTTATTTCAGTAATTGGTTTAACAACGTTTATTTTTTGTTGAACATTTTCACTTTCATTTATTTCTTCCTCCTCTGTTTCATTTATTCTTAAAATCGGTTTCATTTATCATTAAATAAAAATTAGAATATAAGTGATGAAATATATTTTTTAATTAATATTAAATCAGAAATGGCGGCAGGATTCTTTAAAAAATTATGGGATGGAATTAAGAAAGCTGCGGGTTGGGTTTATAAAAAGGTTATTAAACCTGTTGCAAACTTTTTGGCACCAGTAGCGAAAACGGCAGGAACTATCATAGGTGGGGTATTAGGTACTAAAGCAGGTAATCCGGCGATGGGAGCACAAGCAGGTAACGCAATTGGTGGAATAGCTGAAGGAATACTTAATAAAATAGGAGGTAGATAGTGGAAAAATAAATAAATATTATTTTTATCTTAGTATTGGTTGTAGTCTTTGATAAACTTTTTCTCCTTTATTTAAAATTTCTCTTATTGGGGCAGCTTTTGGTGTTATTGATTCAGCTACGTCACTAATTGCTTCTTTATTCTTAAATATCCAATTTGCTCCCTTCTTCAATGTTTCCCAAACTTTACTCGCTCCTCTTTTTACTTTATCCCACAGTTTCTTAAATATACCTGCAGCCATAGTTGATTATTTCATTAAAATTAAAAATTCATTTTCATCTTTTAATTTTGATTTTTTATTTATTAATAAATGACGACTAACTATTTAGTGCCAAACACTAAACCAATTAATGGAAATGTATTTCATTCATTCGAAAAGATAAATGAAATATTCGCAAAGAATGACGGTAGAAGATATTATAGAGAACTTGAAAGTTCATGCTATGACTCTGATGCTCCATATTTTGATGATAAACAAACTCATTTAAGAATTACAAACCCAGCTCATGATGTGAACCAATTAGGTGACACATATATTAAACGCAAAGTTAAAGTAACTCTAGTTTCAAATAAAGCTTTCACATGTGATGCCGCTTTTAAATGCATGCGTTTATTCGTTGGTTACAAATCATCAAATCAAAGCTTTAAACAATTAGAAGTAGAAACTGAAAGAGGTGATGCCGGTTATCTTCAAATGGATTGCGCCCGTGAATCTTTCGCATTTGCAACATATAAACCAAAATCAGAAAGGAAAGTTAAAAAGTTTGTTCATTCGTTATATAATAATGTTCAAAAATATGATAACTCAGTATGTGGTAAATATATTGACCCTTCAGAAGTTTTCAAGAACGCAAATAAAGAAGTTGATGTCACTTTTGATATGATTATTCCGGTAAATGATTTGTTAGCATTTCAGGCGTTCATGATTATCCTAAATCATTTGGTGATATCATTCTTAAATATTATGTTTTCAGGGATACTTTAGTATTTTGTCAGGTTGACCCGTTAAGAGTTGCTGATTTACAAAATTACGTTTATGAAAAGATAACTGATGAAAATTATGAAAAGATTATGAATCATGTTTATAAATATGATCGCAAATTCCAACAAATCGACTTCCTACCTTAATACAAGCTTAGCCGCTACATTGCTGACGCAACTTGATGACGTTATTATTTCATGCACAAAGATGGAGGTTTTAGAGGATAAATGTATTACACCAGGATACGGTTTAATTGAAGAATCAGTTAAAGCAATACCACGTTTATTCAGTAAGGAAGATCCATTCATGATTCCAGCTCAACATATTGACGTTCGTTCACTAAATGGAGGTTGCATCACTCCTGAAGGTATTAGCTCGGATTTCTCATACGCCCTTCATAATGTTACAGATGTTGTGTTAACATTTCCGAAGAATGCAATGCAAAGAACGGTTTTAGAAAATCCAATGCTTCGAGGTCTTCAGGTCACTATAGATTCCAGAAACTTCCCCGATCAAGCGATGACCATAGTGGGCGACATATTCTTTACACGTATGCTTCACGCTTCTGATTTAGATGGAGTGAATGAATGCACAGAAGAATACGAGGACTCATTAACTAGACCACTGAATGATGATGATGGCACGCCATTAGCTAGAACATGGAAAGACCAAACTTCATTCTTATGCACTATTCCAGTTCAACGTGATGGAGCGGGTATATTCTTTGATGGATTAGAAACTTTCAACTCACAAGTTACAGTACAAGTGAAAGCTTATCCAATCATTCAGGGTGAAAATGACACTTACTGTTCAAAGGTGACAAATCCTCCTCAGGTTTGGTTTACTAGGACTACATATTGGACATGGACACCGGATGAAGGTTTGAAATATCATCCAACAGGTACACCACCACAGTATAGAAGTTCATATGATGAAATATTGATGAATAGAAATGTTTAAAATTATAAATTTATTTTTGATTAAATGGATTTAAATTCATCCACCCCTTATGAAGAATTAGCGGGAGTATATAATACATACGTAGATGATATGATTAATAAAGCATTGAGTGATAATAGAAATGCTCTATCTAAGGAAAAATTAATGAAAATTCCATATTCTGAATGTTACTTAAATTCAATCACTGCAGCAATTGGTAAACAAAATAAAGTAAGTAAACATTAACGATATTAAAACAAATTATC